AAACTGTAAACAAAACGGCGGCCCAGCAGAGAAAGTTTAAAACGAAGCTGGGTGGGCAGAGTTCGAGACCGGAAGAGGGAGCAGATGTCCTCAAACTCCTGGCGGATATGCTCAAGCCGGTGATGGAACAACTCAATGGTATTAACCAGCAGTTGACTGTGATGAATAAAAACTTTGTGGCACAGCAGCTTCAGCTGAATGAGACGGAGAAAAAAGTGGAGCAGGCAAATGAGAAAATTAAAGAGAAAATTAAAGTTTTTATTGACACCACAAGTAAGAAGTTGAAGAAAAGGATGGGAGAGGTGGAAATGAAGCAGAATTGCCAAGAGAATCGAGTCTTGCAACTTCAGATGGAAAAAGCTAACATGATTCTCAGGTTTCAGGGGGTTACGGAAACGGATCGGGAAGACTGGAAGAGGGTGCTCAGTGAGATCATTGCTCCAGTAGTAGGCTTAACAGCGAATGAACTGGTAAACAAAATGGAGACAGCCTATAGGGCTTACTCCAATTATATTAAAAAAAATAGTCTACCTGGAGAAATAGTGGTCAAGTTTTCAAGAAGACAAACCAGAGATGCCATTTTAAAAGCAACATCAGCAACTCCACTGAAAATGGGAAATGTAACCATTAAAACTTTAAAGGACATTCCATTTAAAATTAGACAAAAGAGGAAAAATTACAAGAAACTAATTTCTTTTCTTCAAACTAATGGAATATCGTACAGATGGGCGGTTCCTTCTCTTGGGGTTTTAGTCTAGGGTGGTTTGCTTTTCTATATCCCTAGTTGTAGTCCCTCCCCTATATTTCTTTGTAGTTTGTAGTATATGCAAAATAAAAAATATCCCCACTGGGATTTTAAAAAAAAGAAAGAATGTAGTTCATACAGATATTTAATTTTTCCCCACTACAAATACTCCAGGACAGCAGGTGATTGGTTTATATCCTGTGATGACTGAGGTGCTTATACTTAGTCAACATTCTGAAATTCAGCAAATAAACTAATCATGACTTGTGGCAGTAATCAGTATACTCATTTGCATAATTTAGCTTTATTTTTCTGAGCATACTTAATATACTATATGGGCAGTTCTAATTCATAGAAGTTAGTCTCTGGCTATGTTTGTTTCTATTTTAGGAGAGAAAGAACAGACAGATTATTAATGATACTCAAAAGTAAAGCTCAGCTGTCGCTCTTGTAGGCTTCTGCAAATACCTGACACAGATAAGAAGCTAATTATAAACAGCGTCAGTAGTTAATAACACTGCAATATGTTTGTTTTTTCTCACATTAGGTTACTCCACATTAGGCAGAAAAGTCCATAAATTACAGGCTTACAGCCCAGTCCTAAACATATTTACTTGGAAGCATGTCCCTATTGATTTCACCAGCATTTCCTTCCAAATACACGAGCTTAGGACTGCTAAGAACTGTAGCTTTAGCAGAATTATCAAGGCAGTGATTGTACTACAGATAAAAATGCCTCTTGTTGACATTAAACATGCTTTGAAAACAAATTTGGGTCTGAGAGACACTCTTTAGTGTTCCTGAGCTATGGTTAGAATGCAAAGGATCTCAGTTTTAATTGTTTGAAAAGTACCTAGCTGTCATGTGGGCAAATTAAAAAAAAAACAAAACAGTGAGATTAGAAGGCTCAGAATACCATATTATTTACTTTTCCCTGTGGTACTGAATAACTTCCATTGATTTGAGTGTAATAAGAGAAAGAACAAATTGTACACACTGGATTAGGCAAAATCTGTCCAATGCTCCATGCACTAACAGTGCTTGTGTTGTGATGCTCATACTACAGAAAATTCACTTTAGATAGCAAAGAAGAAGTCTTTTCTTCAGCAAATTTTGTGTGAATTATCTCTGTGTAAATGCTTAAGCCCAGGAGAAATGATGACAGGGTTTTTTAAATTATTGTTCCCATGCAATAGATCTGTAATTTAAGGAACTGCCTTCTCTGGTCTCACTCAACAGGACTTTTGGGCAGGTAGTTTACCCTTGGGAGCTTCTGTTTCCTTTGTGCACAGAAATGTGCAATAGACTACATAGATCTGACGATACATGTAATATCTGCTGACCCTGTCTTCAAATGTGAATTCAATAGGGAATTTTCTCCAGAACAGTCTGTTCTTCTCACTATAGCTCAAGAAGCTGAGGGCCTCTGGCTCTACAATTCCCCCACGTTACTCTGCCAGAGTCCAAGTCGATTGACCTTCAGAGCTTAGCAGAAGGGTTATCTTTCCTCTCAGGCTTCACTTGAATGTTTCATGGGGGAGGGATGTGTATGTGGCTGGTGATGAGTAACAGTCTCTCTGTGTTTCACCTCTGAA